CTCCCCTAACAAAACAAACAAACAAACAAACAAACAAATAAAGACTGTGAAATTAAAAATGTGCTCCATAATTTGACAACAGCTGTCATTTTAGTGTTTTAGCCCAGTGGTTCCCAGCCTTGGGTCACCCAAGTGTTCTTATTTATTTATTTATTTAACTTATATGCCGTCCAGTCTACCCAAAGGTCTCTGGGCGGCTTACAACAATTAAAATTCAATTAAAATACAATAAAAGATAAAATGATTAAAATACAATTAAAATTGCCATCATCAGGACCCACAGTTGATGTTATTTCAATTAAAAGCCTTCGGGAACAGGAAGGTTTTGACCTGGTGCCGAAATGTCATCAGCATCAGTCAGGAGGGCATTCCATAGTCTGGGGGCAGCTGCTGAAAAGGCCCTTTGTCTACAAGCCGTCCCTCTTACCTCCTTGACGGATGGCTCTTTCAAAAGGGCCCCCCTGGCTAGATCTTAACTGCCGGGTTAAGATTTAAGTTAAGGACTGCAATTCCCAGAAGCCTTCCCTACCTGCTGTCCTGCCCATGGTTTCTGGGCGTTGCAGTCTTAAGAACACCCAGGGGACCCAGGGTTGGGGACCACTGCACGTGGGAAATACTGTATTGCATGTTGTATTGATTTACACCTGAGTCCTGGGTGTGCAGGTCAAGTTAAGAGATGAAATATGAAATGTAGATTTATACCCGGAACTTAAGCATTTCAGCTGTAATGTTATTATGGTGCAAACAGAAATAAAAAGAACACCCTGTTTATTTGTTAAATACATACCTTTTGTCTATAAAGATGTACACAAGGGGGTTAGAAACAGATTTTAAAAACGTACATGAAACAAATCCTGTGAAATAAATGGGCAAATCCCAGATAATCAGCCGGCTAAAGACATACAAAGAAATGGTCTAATTTCAGTTGATTTTGCAAATCAACACTGTGTAGTGAATGTATTCGCGAAGCACAGTTTGCTGTCCTCTGAAGATGCCGGCCACAGAGACTGGCGAAACGTTAGGAAAAACCACCTTCAGAACACGGCCAAGAAGCCCGAAAAACCCACAACAACCACTACTGTGTTGTGATTTTGTATGCATGTGGCACAAGTGACTAGCTGTAGGTTCGGCATACTTTTTGAAAATCTGCAGTTGGTCCATACATTGAATATCCTGATGGGATATTAAAAAAGTTGGTTGATGAGCCAGTGGGAAGAGAATATATTTCTTCAACTGGATACCTGGCTGTACATAATTTGTGTCTCTATCACATGTGCATGCATGAGTTGTGGTCCAGCAGCATGTGGAGGCATAGGCAGGCTGGTGGTTTGAGCATGAGGCCTCTTACCCCAGCCTTTTCATGTTAAGATCCTCCATCTGCTTAGACCAGGAGCCACTCCTGTCTGAAAAGCGAGATGTTCTCCATGTCAGCTCTGTTTTATTTGTCATTCTAGTTGAGTGACACAGTTTGACAGCCTTTCAGCGCATTAGTCCTATTTGTTTTTATTCACCTGTGTTCATTGGGGCTTGCTTGAAGGGGGTCAGGATCACAGGATCAAAGCTAGCTCACCTCCATTTACTATACATTTCTGCAGTTTGACCAAATAAATGTTCAATTGTGCTGAGTATATTATTTTGCATATGCTTTTGAAGGAGCGAATTCCATTTGGACGTATATCTAATGTGATGTACATCTCTGCAGTTTGACCAAATAGATGTTCAATTGTGCTGAGTACTGTATATTATTTTACATACGCTTTTGAAGGAGCAAATTCCATTTGGACGTATATCTAATGTGATATGGGTGTGGTATTTAAATCAGATTGGGAGAGTTCAATATTTTAGCTTAAAAGCGTTATACTGGAAATATAAGACGTAGTCCCCTCTTTTGGAGTTCCCAATGCGTGCATGAAAAAATAGTGTGGAAACAAATTGTTCCAGAAGTTTGTAAGTAAATCTGGCAGAATGAATGGTATCCTTGTTGCTGTACTTTGTAGTCTCACTAGTGCTTAAATGCCAAAGTGTCTGTTTGTGATTAGCTTAGAAGTGTGGGAAGGGTAAATTTAGAAGAGGAAAAACTTTTCAGATGTGCTTAAATGCCAAAGTGTCTGTTTGCGATTAGCTTAGAAGTGTGGGAAGGGTAAATACTGTATATGATCCAACAATGAGAAAAGTAGATCTTTAATTACTTGAATAACCAAACTGTTTATCATGGTGACAGGTCCCACTGGTAGTGCAGGAATGGGGGACCTCTGATACTGACCATTTGGCTAGTAAGTCCTACCTGGTGTGGCCGATGGGAAGGAATGGTGGAAGCTTTAGCCCCAAACATCTGGAAGGCCAAAAGTTCTCTTCCCTAGCCCTGAGGTGATGGAATCTAGTGCAGGGATGGCTAGAAGAAAGATCTCTGGGTAATTTACTGCAGATTGACAAGGATTTGGACTCCTTAGGATTGATTGTATTTTTAACTTTCCTTCCCCCTTCCACCACAAACACATTCAAAGCAAGAAGACACACAATCCATTTGGAAATCCCTCTCAGACAGCCAGTCACTGAAGCCTGCCTGAAGAGAAAAATATTTGTTAGTTGTGGATAGATAGCAAAGATGGGGCCAGTCTGGCCTCCTGTGGGAGGGAGTTCTGGGGGGGCAGCAACAGAGAATGCATATATTCCACTTTTCTTCAGGAAACTGGGAAAGGAGGGGGCTTGCAGTATAGTTAAAAACAGTACAATTAATACAATGGCTGAAATCCTGTTGCTTAGCTTAGTAAGGATGCAACTACAGTACGTTAAGAAGTAATGCAGAAAATGCTTCATGATAGGGATGGTCAGATTTACATTATTTTCCATGGGCTACATGTAAAAGTCAATGTGAATCAGTACTGTATGGAGTTTCCCCGCTACAATTTGTAATTTTTTTCTTCTGCTGCTGGAGCTTCTACATTTTTTGTGACAGTAAATCCACTGCCACTTTGGGCACATTCCCCATTGCCTCAGGGAGCTCATCAGTCTCTCTTGTCTCATGAGAGATGGTGAGCTGGAGCCAGCCCTGTACCATTTATGCATTCTTTGCTGCAGCCAGAGTCTCAGCTTACTCAACCAGCATGTAATCCCCAGCCTTTTGTCTTTGTTTTTCAGCAAAAATTCTGGTGGAGCGATAGCAATTAGGTGGCAGAAGGATGGTGGCTGTGGGGGCACCATTAACACTTGGAGTGCTGTTAGCTTTGCTAATAATGCCATATTTTTCGTTCATTCTTTTTAGAAAAAGTCTTGATTCTAGTACTCTTGCACTAAGTCACCTAGAGACCAAAAGAAAAAGAGATAGAAAATGAGAGAAGGAAATTGTTGTTTGACCCTTGTTTACAGCTTATTAAGGCAGTTCCCCTGTAGCCATACCTATTGTAAATCTGGATGATTGCAAAAGAGATACTTTAACAAGCTGCAAACAAGGCTGTTTACCAGTTTCTTCTTCTCTCTCTTGATTCTTGTGTGGCCAGTTGAAGGCAATTTAACCAGGGAAACCCAACTTTTCAGGTGTGACTTCATAGTGGATCCATTCACATTTTTCTTGCACTGTAAGTTGTACTAGAGTCAGCCCAGTGAAATTAGTGGGGATCTGGTGAGTCTCTTCCTCCATTGAATTAAATGGGCCTACACTAGTTGTGACTAGCTGGAGTCCCGAAGGCAGTTCGCGTTGTTCTGTCAACTCCTGCATCGTTGCTGGAACCAGTTGTATTGGCTCTTGCCTTTCCATTGGATCTTTTCAGCAACGTGGAGAGGGGGGATCTGCTGCTTGGGTAACAGCCTATCCTCCATATTACTTTATCCAGGCTTCATGCTCTGGAGAGGACACTCCTCGATACAGAGCACGTTATCATGGTCTCTCGAGACTGAAGGATGCCTGTGTAGTTGTGACTTAACGATGCTAAACAATAGGATTTCCGCCAGTATGTTACGAATACCTATACCGGGTTTTCTATTAAAAATCATTTAAAACTTCACAGATAGGATAATTAACAGTAGAAAATAAAATTATAATGGAAAATACCAATGAAAAAAATACAGGGCTTTCTTAAAACCTATGACTTTAGCAGTTGATTAATTACCTAGATGTTCTTGAACTAAAACTCCCAGAAGCTTTCACCACTAGCTGTGCTGGTCAGAATTTCTGGGAGTTGCTGCCCAAGTTTGGGAACCACCGTCCTTGAGCTCTACTGATTAGCTCTTTCATCTCTGGATATCTGCTGACATGGGATGCATTCTCTTGATGTGGACTTTGTCACACCCATGGATTTGGATTTGAGGCCATTTTTTAAGGCACCGAGCTGCAATTTTGTGTGTCTTGCTGGCGCTGAATTTGTTGCATCCCTCACTTCCCCCAAACCCTCTGAAAGTGCCCTTAAAACTGAAATAGAATAGAGTTTCAAACAGTTACTTAGCCCAACACAGAGTAAACAAACCATATTCCTTTAGAAGGTGGATGAATGAAGAATTGAGTTGCTGCAAACTAACTAACTCTCTCTCTTGTAATTTGCAGACAAGAGGCAACAGAAAACATGGAGCATCATCCATCATCACTAAAGCAATTACAGGTAAATATGCATGGCTTGTGCTGATGGATTGTTCAGTAGATCTTATGTGGCTGAAATGAATAGGGTGTAAAATTCCCTGGATCTGTTTATGTAGTTTATTTGTTTTCATATTCCTCTTGTAGTGAGGGCCAAGTGTAACATGTACTGTACAACAGCTATTGGGAAATATGTTCTTTCTCCTAGACTCCTGTAGTTTGCTTTTCCCCTTTTCTGGCTCCTCTTTTTTTCTCACCAGATTGTATTTCATTGCACTCGTACATAAATAGCTGCCAGGTCTCCTCGCGTGTGGGGAGTCTCTCTAGGGCTATGCTTTCTGTCCACATAGCATATGTTATAAGAAATGAATGGTCCAATTGTGCTCTGTCATGGTACTACTATGGTACTTGTATTTATTCAGTATAAACATCAAGAATTTATGTCCTTGTTTCTAATCCAGTGGGTTGTCCCACGTTTGTTAGAAGTAGTGATTTCTGACAGGAGAGCTGTGTGGCAGGCTGTGAGATCTTTAGTACAGGAGACAAAGCCAATTGTTTGTGTTCTCTCATGGGCTAACTTTCCCTTCCCAGATGCACAGGGTCAAAGCTCATCCAGTGCTTTATTGGTACCTGTGGCTACAAGAGGCACAGGATATCATGTCTGAGGCATTCTGCCATGTCTCTGCAAGGTGGACTGGAGTGTGGCTCCACACATGTGCATGTTTTTCTTTGAAGGACAAATTAAACGAAACAACAAAATATCTGCAAAAATGCAGCCCTTTCTACTGGTCACGTTCTCTTTTTGAACAGTTGAGCAGGGTTTTTCGTATTTAAACATTTTTCTTCTTTTATAGGCCCTGCCTTATTTTTGCTGCATTACTTATGGTACAGGTAAGTTGCTTTGTTAAAACATAAACTCTCAAAGATCTGTTTTAAGTTAGTTTGAAACAATATATGGCATTTGCAAAGGATCAGCTCAGCTAACTTAGTGGCTTTAACAGCGTTTGGCTCCGCTAATGAACCTCTGTTTGAAGTGTTCATCTTTAGAGATAGCTTTTTCATGAATAAAAAAGAAAACAAAACCACTTGATTGGATGTGAGGGTGTGTATATCTCTGGAATACAAAATTGGTATCAATTTTTGATTTAAATCAAAAAAATTTTCAAATTGACTTTTTTGTGTATTTAAATAAAAATGATTTTTAAAATTTAAATTGTGATTTAAATTGATTTTTTAAAAATGATTTTTGTCCATCCTGATTGGTATCCATGGTCAGAATCCTGTGGGTGATTTACATGTGGGTCATTTGAATTGTGTAAACTCAACACCACACCTTGTGACTAACTGATGAACCCATGTCACCAGGCCTGTACTTGTTATGCAGTCCAACAGGATTCTGGCCAATCTATACATAATAATGTACATGTTACAATTGTATTTATAAAAAAAAAACTCTTTGGGAATATAAAGCTGAATAAAACAATGTTAGATATGATTAAAATCAAGATTATTGGCAACAATTTAAAAGTGGCAAGATAGAACAGAGCAGGATCTAAGTTGAAGGAAGATTACGCCCACTCACATAACATGACTTTCCTTCGTCTCTGCTCCCCCCCATTGCCCCTCCTTCCCATCGTAGAGTCTTGCAACTCTCCAGAGCGGGATTTTGGTGGGGATGCAGGAGATGGGGACGAGGAAGTGCTCTCCTCCCTATTCCATTGACAGAATATGGTCTTTCAGTACAAATATTGGATTTTGCACTTTAAAAGACACCCCTTCAGAGTGAGCTCTTCTAGAATGCGAGGGATTTAAAAGCGGTGTCATCAGTTCCCTCCTTGGGTAGCGGGGTTACTACAGACGTACAGTGTGACCCATATTGATGGACAAATTCATTTAAACTCTACCAAAAGAAGTGACTACCACAATCTACCCTTCTTTGTAGCAATGATTGTATTTCTAAAAGGTGCCTTTCATCCCCCCACGTAAGCATGTTTGTATTTCTAGTCCTGCAAAATCTTCTCTCCCTGCGGGATTGGTCCGCCTGGTAAATAAGCAGATCAACTGGCATTTAGTTCTTGCAAGGTAGGTGACCAGGCATTTTCTTTGAATATATACTCTGTGTGTGTGTTGTGTGTGCACGTGTGTGTGTGTGTGTGTGTGTGTATGTGTGCGCGTGTGTGGATGAATGCATGCATGCGTGTGTATGTGCATGAAGGTAGTAGAAACCTGTTCCCAGCCATCAGCAGAAGAGGAATTGCTGACAGGTTCCAGTGATTTCAAAGGTCCTATACTAAGCATGGATTTCTAACTTTCTAGTGTTTATCCTGTGCAGAAGTATGCTTGTTCAGGGCCCCACTTTGCTTATGCTACAGAGTGAACCAGAAGTAGGATAGCTTTCCGGAGTTCTGGGGCCCTTTTCTCCTTCCCTTGAACCATGGAGGGCTGCCCCAATACCCTGAAAAAGATCGTTGCATTGTAGAATTGAAAATCGTGGCATCAAGAAGCCTCGAGGTGTGTTTGTGCGGTCATTAATATAATTCCCCACCATGGCTCACTCTAGGCATTAGAAACTGAAACTGAGCCTTTGATATCCCTTGGAAGCAGCCATGATTATGCAGGGATATTTATTGAATCTTTTTGTTCTTCAGCAATGGAAAACTGCTAGCAGCTGTTCAGGACCAGTGTATAGAGATAAGGTAAAGTAAATGGTGGCACAGTTTTATGCATGTCTACACAAAAGCAAATCCCTTGGAGTCCAGTGGGACTTACATCATATTTGTCCTGTTGTTTCATTCTTGAGCTTGCGTGATAGATTTGTTAAATTTCTCGTCAAATTCTCTGTAACCTGATACAGGCATGTGCATGCTAATTGAGGAGATTTAAGAGAGAGCTTTGTGGGAGGAGGGGTTACCATGTGGACAGTATTCGTTGTGTATACCTACATTGGTTGAGCAACTACATTCACTATAGGTTGGTAGGAGTCGAATGAGGAAGTGCAAATAAGCCATTCATCAAAGATGTAAACCCCATAACTTCCTTAATGCTATTGGTTCAATATTTCAGTTCTGAGCAATAAATGTAGGGTTTAATCTTTCTTTAAAAAAAGGGAGGTGCCATGTTGTCTTTATGGACTATGCCACCTGAGTCAACTTTGAGTTTTCCTCCAGGGGGATTCATTAAATTGAAGAACATTTGCACACATGCTATATGGAATGCAGACATTAGAAATGCAAGAGATCAGGGTGTCCCTGCAGGGGCAAAATGGTTACTTGTCCTTTATATGTCAGATTGTGTGTGTCATTCAAGCCGCTCTGCATTCCTCCTCCTCTTTCTAATGTGGTCTTAGCTTCTATTCTGCTCACATTGGGAAGTAATAGTGGTGTTCCCTGGGAAGGATCTGGAATCAGCAGTTCTTGCTTTCCACTTACAGATCCCTGTGCACCCTTAGAACTGGCTCTGGGCAACTGGGAAATCTTCTGCAGCCAGAAGGTGGCCGACGGGTAGCAGAGAGGGCTGTTCTGCAATAGAACATGTTCTACTGCAATCATCCACAGAATACTGGATTTAGTTATCTAAATGACACAATTTTTTGTGGCAGAAATTCATCTGTGCATTTTTAATGCTTTGTTATTTTTCTAAATGACACAATTTTTTTGTGGCAGAAATCTGTGCATTTTTAATGCTTTGTTATTTTTTTGAGACTTCTCTGAATCACAAAAGTTTGTTTGACACAGTCCAGTCTGTTTTTAAGTGTGCAAATGTTTACTTCCTGTAAAGAGATAATAAAAAGGCAGCAAGGAATCATGATGAGCAAGGATTGCATAAAGTTTAATATGAGAAAAATCATATGTTGCAGGTCTGCAAAGGATGAATTTGCATCTGTCATTGGGAAATGTCAAGGTATGAAATATTTTCTACTAAAGGAAGTTACAAGGGAAGAACAACTGTTACTGCTTGATTATTAAAATTGTTCTCTGAGTGCCTCTGTCCACAATGGTGTTACATGTGGCTATTAGGCAAAGAGCCTTCCCAGCAGGAGCCCTCAGTCGGTAGAATGCCCTCCCTTGGGAGACCCACCTGGCATCCTTCTTAGATACAAGCAAGACCTACCTATTCATGATTCTAGCTATTCTGTTCCCCTTCTACATAAAACAGAGCTGCTGAATAGCTTAGGGGTTTAGGTCTCTGGGTTGAGAGTTTGATTCCTCCCACTGGGCCTCCTTGACAGGGGCTGGACTTGATGGATAGGAGACCTGTGATAGCACGGTGCCTATTCATGATTCTGGCTATTCTGTTCCCCTTCTACATAAAACAGAGCTGCTGAATAGCTTAGGGGTTTAGGTCTCTGGGTTGAGAGTTGGATTCCTCCCACTGGGCCTCCTTGACAGGGGCTGGACTTGATGGATAGGATCCCTTCCAGCTCTGCAGCTTCTAGATGTTGATGGTGATGATTGCAGTTGATCAATATTCTGTGCCAGGAGGGCAGACCCAGGACTTGCTGGAATATTTAAGGAGTTACCCAGGGATTTTTCTGTTTTATACATCTGCAACTCCAGGATTCCCAAGCCCATGGATGCCTGTCATTTATAGCTCTATCAGATATAACCTGTGGAATGCAAGAATAACTTCTGGTATTCTGACCTGTGTATATGGGTAGTCTGAAACAGATCCCAACTAGTATGTTTTGGGGTGGACAAATGTTCACCTTACAGATATTGTTGGGCTGCACCACCTTTTGTCTTTAGCACTGGTTTGTTGACTAGGGCTGATGGGAATTAGTTTAACAAGATCTGGATGGCCACAGGATAATTCAGAAGGTAGGACCCAAAGGAATGGATTTGCATGATGAGGTTCTGGCTAAACATAAGGAAGAATGCACAAGCAATAAGAACTGTTTTGTCAGTGAGACAGACTACCTCAAAAGGTTGGACATGGATTAACTGTAGATTTCTGGATACAATTGGATGTAGTTTCTTAAGAGATCATCACTGTTACTATGCTATGAGGCAAATGACCTCTAGAGGAGCATCAACAGGAACATCTCTGTAATTAAAGATAGAGTACTGTACTGTACTTCTCAAATTCTGTCCTCATGGGCCTCTGTAAAACAAGGATTTGCTGTAGTTTGTGGGTTGTGTCAAATCAGCAATCAAAATAAGCGACCGTACTTTTTTTGTGGATTTGGAAGCATGTGGTCTAAAAGAAGTAGCAGGGAAGCATGTCTTGTGAACTCATTTTTCGCTTAAGTTGGGCATCACAGGGGAGCCAGATCCCTTACTGTGATAGTTGCCCTATTGTTTGCAAACACTGTCAACAAGTGTAGCCCCCAGCAACAGTTTCGAAGTCAAAACAGGTCACCTATTTGGAAACTGAAATTCAGGATGGTGAATGCTGCTTAAACGGTATTGGGCCCTTCTCGAAGTCTTGTTCAACCCTTTTATTAACTTTGGATGTAGCATGGAGATGTATAACAATTCAATAATAATCATTCTGATATTTTAGGAAAGATCTTTTGAAAGAAAAGACCTAGTTAGTTTTGAAAGGAATGGAAGATAACTCTACTTCCTGTATCATATGGGAACAATCTCTTCTCCACTCCCATAAGCCTCCCTTTCAGTAGCTCTTGTCATGGTGGTGGTTTAAAGATGTAGTAGGTTTGATCCACAGCTGATGGGTTACTCCAGATTCTTTACCTTAATTTAGAAATTAGGAGCACTCTGTTCTCACTGGGCTATAGATCAGTTGTATGCTAGTCAGTAAGTGAAGGGGAGCAGATGATTTCGGCATGGAATTAAAATAGGAAAGACTGAATCCATTCCAGTACAAGAACCAGAGCCTTTTGTCTGGAAAGAGTGGGGACACTAATCATCTGCAACATTTGCACAGGCTTTATTAAGATACTTTCTCTCCCCAATCTCACTAGTCCCAAAGGATCCTAACCCACAGTGGAGACGTGTGGCGTGGAGTAATGATTGCACTTTGCTTGCCTATGGCGAAAGCACAGGAACTGTGAGAGTATTTGACTTGGTTGGCAGTGAACTCTTGGTCATCTTGCCGGTACGTTCTTTTTTTTTTTTTGTCCAGATTTTACACATCCATTTTGCATGCAGATTGGCTAAAGAAACTTCTTAGCAATTTTGTTTGCAATATTCTCTATTTATGTTGAGAGATTGCATTATGAATTCTTTATTGCTGGCTATTGTTTGTCCTGTTTTGCATCTTTATTGGCAGATTTGCAGGAAGTGTCTGCTTGATGGTTAAAAGAGTGTGCATTAATTCTCTAAGGCAGTGGTTCCCAACCTTGGGGCCCCAGATATTCTTGAACTAAAACTCCCAGAAATCCTCATCATTAGCTGCACTGGCCAGGATTTCTGGGAGTTGTAGTTCAGGAACATCTGGGGGACCCAAGGAAGAGAAGCACCAGTCCAGTGGCTCAGTCAGATGGCCGTTTGTCCCACTGCTTGGTGCACTAAAGGGACAATGTGGTCTGCTCTTTTACAGGACTGGCCAAGAAACTGCCTGAAACCCAATCCACAATGTTCAGACAAATGAAAGAAAATGCTGTTTTTTTCTTGTTTTTTTTTAAATGATACAGCACCTCAGCTATAGTCTACCAGAATCTTCAAAAACAAAACAAAACATTCAATCCCTCTACCTCTCCTCTGAGGAGCAGAGAAAGTGTTCAATTTGTTGATGTCCTGAAGTGGATCCCTTATTAAGCCACATCATGATATCAGAAGGAACCGGACCAAATAGGGTCGCTTGAGCTCTGACATGCCATTTGGAAGCAGGAACCTCACCAAATGGCAGATCAGACTTCCACCTGACCCCAAGCGACCCTATTTAGCCTGCACCAGCCGGCTCCTAATCAGCCAGAGTAGACCAGCCCTCAGTGTCAACTAAGCTACTGATGTTTTTGTTAGGATTGCTGTTGTTGCATTCTTCCAAAAAGAGAGGGATTGGGAGCTCCTAAGACACATTCCAAAATCCATGTTGTGGCCATCCCTTTATCGCGGCAGCTAAAAGGGTGCAAAATTCTGTGTGCAAACTTGAGGGACTTCCAGGTGATCTCATCAGGTTCTGGCTTTCACCCTGAATCGCTGCTAGGTTTGATGGGAAGGGAAAAGGCCATGAAAAACAATAAATAGCTCTTGGCAAGATGGATTTTGCCAGGCCCACCTTTCTTAGATGTGAATCAGGAAAGGCTCAGGAAGCAGCGGTTGCTCTTTTAAGCTCACAACTGAGGCAGCTGTGGATTGGATGTCCCAATTTTTCAAGCCTGGTGAAAACTGTTTTGCCAAGAATCGTTGGACTTTAAATCTCAGAGTAACTTTCCTGTCAGAATCCATCTTGCCATTTCTTCACAAAAGTACAAGCCCAATGAAGAGGTGTTTTTATCCACGAAAGGCCGCATATTGTAGGATGATATTTTAGTGGTCTGTAAAGGTGTTGCCTGTTCTTGCACTTGTATTTTAATTTGCTTGGACCTTTATTTCTTTGGAACTTACATGCTGTTTGACAGATTTCAGCTTTGACGTCATCCCCCAATGCTTGATCTGTTTAAGAAAGGGCGTGTTTCGCTCCTTATGTGTCTTTGAAACTTTTGCTAAAGGAAAGTCTTGACGTTCTATTTTTATGTTTTATTTTGGTTCAGGGTAATAGCTTCGCAGGAGACCTGAGCTACGCTATTGCAGGATTGATCTTTGTGGAATACAAAGCAAGCGCCCAGTGGTCAGCTGAACTGCTAGTCATCAATTATCGTGGTGAACTGAAAAGCTACCTTGTCAGGTAAGCCTAATATATTGTAGCTATCAATGTTTAATTGGTAATCTTTCTTTTATTAAATAAAGCCTGTCCCCCCCCCTTTTTTTTTTTTGGTCTAGTGTTGGAATGAATCAGAGTTTCCAAGAGAGTCATAGTTTCAGTTTCAGCAGCCATTATATCCATGGAATAACTGCTGCAATTTATCATCCTCTACACCGGTAAGTTCATTGAGTTTATAAATGGTTTCTTATGAAGTAAGGGTGTTCTTTACAAAGCCAGGCTGCACTTTGCAGTAAGGGGGGGTCATCCCTCCACCACCTTGAAATCTTCTAGATTGCTATCAAGTAATGGGTGAAAGGTACCATTTGCTACTGTTTATAGAAGCAGGTACGCTTTGCCTTTCTCTTGGCTGGAAGGGGGGTCATCCTTGCGGTTTTTGACCTCGGCAATCCAGGTGGCCTGTAATATCCTAGCAGTCTAATCTTTGGGAAGGAGTGGTGCCAGTGCAGAAAGACCAGCTGATATTTTTTAATTTGTGTGGCGTATTTCCCATTTGTTGTGTTCATAGAGACCTTTTGATCTAACTGAGCAGCCGGGCCTTGTATGAACAGACCAAGTTGCATTAAACACAGTGGAGCGTTCTTCTCAGTAAATAAGCATAGGACTGCACTGCTAGTCAGCGGGGACTGGCAGAGTCTCAAACGTTGAGTGTCTCTGAGAGCTGCCTTTGGCTTACTTTGAAGTCTTCTAAGGTAAAGGCTCCAAAGTTTCTCTAGGCACATTCCTCTATTTGAGGGTGGACCTCTTTCTGTTGTTGCTGTTTCTGACCCCTAATCTGATTAGGAGGTGTCCTGATTTGACCCTCACTCTCTCTCTTATGAATGAAATGAGTATGATTTGTTAGGTAATCCTGCCACCACTCAGATTGAAAATAAACCCCTCAGGGAAGCCTGTTGCGGGCCCTTGATCCTTCTCTTCCTCTGTATTGAGAAACAGACGCCTCCAAGTTTCCATTCATGGAGAGCTCTTCCCACTAACCTTTTCCTGACAACTAGAGTACAATTCAAAGGATTATGTGGCAGACAAAGCAGTAAGAAAAGTTCTCGGTGAACATTGTAAGTGTCCTAAGATCATCCAGCCAGCACAGCGGTATAAGAATTGTATCCCACAGTCACTGATGAGAGGGCTTTCAGTATGTTATGGGGCTTCTTTATAGTGAAAGAAATTGGATAAAATATGCCTCCCAGAACAAAATTCAAGTGATTATCAGAATCCTGCAAGAACCCCATGTTTCAGATTTCTTAAAAACTCAAGGCAAAGAGATAGAACTGAGGGTGAAAATGGATGGGTTTCCTCCCCCCTTCCAAAGCCACAGAATCAAAGTCAAGTCCAAATTATCTCAGCTTTCCTGACTTTGTAGCTCATTTGAGGACTTGCTTGCATTAGTTTGGCAGTTCTTTGATCCAAGAGACAGCACTTCAGAGTAAGAAGATGTAATTTTGCCTCAGTGGTGGATACAAATGGTTTCTAAAACATGTTTACAGGAGGGCTCCTTCTATCCAGATGACAAAGTGGGTTGAACAGGTGGAAAACACGTTGGTCTGACATTGTCCTTCTCTCTTTGTGGTGCCTGGTATTTTCCCACAAAATCTGCTCTGGGGGCTTCGGGGGGGACCCCCAGAGTTGTAAAGAAAGTCCCAAAGGTGGGAAATGGGTGAAAATTGTACCCCTCATTCTCTGTATCTGCTTAGGATGCTTCTGTGGCCCAGTAAAAGTGCTGGCTAGCTCTATGGAACTTTTATGTTGTGTTACCCTTAGTTTATCGTATAGGGCCCATCCAGCCCCCTGTGCTGAAATAGTTAAAAATTGTGGTGTATATATACCTTACCATAGCTTATAAATAGAGATGGCGATATTTATATTTGTAAATGAATACGAATATCCCCATCCCAGCCAGACCTAATGAGGGACTGGGCTATCCACTCACACATCCCGGCGCTGTGAAGGTCCTGCTGTCTCCCTGCTCGGCTGGCTGCTCAGCAGCCATGTGGGGAGACTCGTCCTTCTGCCCCTTGCCTGGAGTGGCCAGCTGAGCATGGAGACAGTGGAGCTCTTGGTGCCCTTGGCGGGAAGATGGCATTCATGCGCCAGGATGTGTGAATGGATGGGCCGGTCCTGGGGGCCAGACCCTCACTACGTTCAGCTGGGACAGGGATATTCTTATTTGTTTATTTTTTATGACTATGCTCATCTCTACTTATAAACCATTCTCTGGGCACTTTATAATGTAATTATGCAGGCTACACATTGCCCTCCCCCATCCGTGAAGTATGTACTCAATTTACTGACCTTGGAAGGATGGAAGGCTGAGTCAGCCTTGAGCCAGTTACCTGAGCCCATTGGGATTCAACTCAGATCGTAAGGAGAAGATTGCAGTACTGCAGTTTAACTATTGTGCCACAAGGGACTCCTCTGATTAGGAACAGGAATGACATCTCCCTTGCCCTCCATTAAAACTGAGTTCCTGGCATAATCATGGGAGGTAGAGTGGAATGATCGAAACAGCGTGGATAGTTGCCAGATGACCTCTTTGTTGTGTGTTATGCTCCCTGCTTTTTGTGAAATGATTTAGAAAAGTCGGTCTTTGTTTTTTGCAAGGTGCAGCTGTGTTGCTAAAAAGGTTACATACTATGTGATTCTGAATATTACAAATGTTGCTGCTGCCATGTTTCCTGTCCTCTCCCCTGCAACTTTCTTCAGGCAAGGCAGAAATGAAGTAGGACTGCATTCCCTCTCTCTGTTCGCCTTTGAAGCTTTTGCAAAGACATTGATTGATATTCGCGTTCTTTAATGTATTTCTGCTAGGTTTGAAGCAGATTTATTTCTGCGTTAGCGTGGTGGTGCATTTTGGAATTTTGCCTGCTCCTCAAACAAACAAGACTGCCAGACTTTGATACCCAGAGGTTTCTTTTCTCATAATATGCTGGGCTAAGATAGTGGATATAAAAGACAGGCTAATGATCTGTTCTATAACTGTGCTGCTTAGAGGCAGGGTGGTTGTAGTCTTTCAGAGTTGTGCTTTGTTGCTTTTCTTGTTGAACAGTTCAAACTTGGGGGGAAATGCTCCTTTCGTAGCCAGCTGCTTCTTCACAAGGCTGTCTTTCCCCATAGACGGTAGTTGACAGCAATTGGACAACTTAATCACTTTTCTGAGGCAGTATGGATTATTTCTTCTTGCCAAATTAATATTGTTGATTTATCCTCTGCCATTGGATGAGTGTTGCTGAAATCTTTACAGCCTCCATAGAGGACACCTCTTGACAACTAAACTAGTGAAAGGAATGTGACTGGAAGAAAGTTGTATGGGCTTGAACTGTAGTTATACTTGGTTGGCCAAATAATTTCTGATGCCTTACAAAAGTAACTTTCTGTGTTTTCCCCTGTTGAGAAAGGAAGAGGATACATTAAGGCACAAGAGTTCAGTGTTGCCTCAGTATCTGGTATTGCACAAAGAAATGAAATCCCTCATGAGAGATAGACAGTTTGGGTGGTGTTTCTGTTGAGTTCTGTGGCACAAAGGTAGTAAGAATTAGCACTGGGTGAAACTTACCTTCTTCCCAAACACTGAGGGCAGTGAGGAGAGGTTATCCGCCACTACAGTGATGCTCTACAGTGAACCACGGGTGAAACTTCTTCCCAAACACTGAGGGCGGTGAGGAGAGGTTATCTGCCACTACAGTGATGCTCTACAGTGAACCACTTTTTATTTCCCTTGTGTGCAGGCAGGATTGTCTTTCATTCACATGTATGTATTGCGTAGTGTCAGGTCACCTCCACCTTACTACAACCTTGATAGGATTTTCAATGTGTGAGGGTCATTTAAAGGAGTGGTTGGTCCTTGCTGCCTTCCCGTGTATTTTATGCCTAGAGTTCCCAGAAATGTCCCGGACTCCACTCCTTCCTCAGACCTATCAAAATGAAGGTGCTTCTGTGAGTCATGGAGGATTAAGCATAAATAGATTGTGCTATTTTAGATCATTTGTCATGGACTAGTGACTTAGCGTGTGAAGCACATGACTGTGCGGACTTAACTTGCAGCAGTTTGCTGTCTGAAATTTACACCGATGGTCAAGAATACTCCCAATTCAAAGTGCTAGTGATGACCTATAAAGCCCTATATGGTTTGGGTCCAGGCTGTTTGAAGTATTGTATCACCCCATTGGAGCCTTCTCAGCTTTTGAGATCATCTGAGGGAGGTTTTTCTCTCAGTTCTACCACCTTCCCAAGCTTGTTTGGTGAGGATGTGAGAGAGGGCCTTCTCCACGGTTGCCCCCGGGCTTTGGAATGTTCTGCCCTGTGAATCTCGGTTGATCCTTTCTCTCTTGTCTTTCCATCCTCAGGCAAAGATCTTCCTTTTCAGGCAGGCTTTTAATAAATAAGTAGGGATCTAGGAAATGCTCTGTTTAGGAAGTTTAGATATTTTTAGATTTGTTTTTAATTTTGACCAAATTTTTAACCCTTTAAAAAAAATATATAGTTTTGTATGGCATTTTAAATCTATTATGATTACATGATTTTAATTGCTGTGAATCGTCTTGGATCCGCTATGGGGAGAAAGGTGGTATATAAATTAAACAAACAAATAAACAAGAGTTGATAAAGATTTTTTTTTTTTGCTGTGTAGATCTTTTGGGCATTGGGAAAGATATGGAGACTTTGAGTTGGTGTCCTAATCTAAGAAAACAGTTGGTTGCTTTTCAGAGCAGGAGGTGTCTTGTATTTGGAATATAGTAAGATGTTTTAATTTGGAGGAGTTTATTGAATACCCCACTGATCTGGTTTGGTCCTTTGGATTCATGGTTTGAAAGCATCCAGAAGAACAGAAGCTACTTGTTTCTTTCTTTTTTTAAACTCTGGATAGAGTTTAAAGGATAGTGCACATCTGTTTATTTTTTTAAGCAAACCTGCTCCCTTGTATAATGGCCTTTATAGTGTCATGTATTGTAGAATGCTGTTAATGCTTTGGTGCATGCAACAGTTCTAATCAGAATATCACTGATGTAATAGTCAAGTTTCACCATTTGATGACATAGTAATCTGGCTGTCATAATGACATTTTTGTAATAGCTCCATCAGTTTCTGTGGAAGAACCAATGCGAGTCATACTTGAAGAAAGGTGTATTTAAATCCACCCCCACCCCCAATTTGGATAAGAAAG